CCAATAATAATAATAATAACAATAAAATACATGGACTTACAAGACTTGTGGGATGAATAAAAAAAAAATTCTTGTAGGCCTATTTTATGTACTTTATTTAACATTCATTCATAATAAGATGATTTTCTCAATATTTAGATTTTTTTGCACCCTCAGATTCCAGATTTTCAAATATTGTCCGATTCTAACAAACCATACACCAATGGAAAGATTATTTATTCATATATTTATTCAGTATAAATCTCAATTTCAGAAAATTGACCCTTATGACTGGTTTTGTGCTCCAGGGTCACATTTAGTCTTTTAGTTTCATATTTAAAGTATATTTTCATTTTTTTTTTTATTATCTAATTTCATATTTCAATATTCAAAATATTATTTTAGGAGCATTAATCTCATTTTGCATTATTTATGCAATTGTAATTACTGTGTAACTTCATCTAAACGCTTCTTCTGCAGTGTAAAACTGGATTTTACTGACATTGATTTAATTTGATTGGTAACAGCCTACAGTGTGTCTTATTCTAATTGAATTTATTGATTAAATGTAAGAATGTGAGATAAAAGATGATGCATATAGAAATTAGAAATACAGAAATATTAGAAAACACTGGCCTTATAAAGATCAAATGCCCTGGAGATCAGTTTAAGAGGGCAAATGTCGGCCCTTAATGGAAAAGCTGATTTCTGGCACAGAATATGAAAAGCTTTGAGTCATCAGTCCAGAACGGGCCGAAACCACACTCAGCAAAATATTGTCTAATTACATTAACGATAACATCCCAGAAAATACTGCGATGTAGAACACACAGTGTTAGACAGGAGCGTGAAGAACTTGAGATCGGGGTTGGAGAGTTTCTGTGCGGATGTGAGCGTTCAGCGAGATGTTTAATTACGCTGACGGAGAACGAGGTCGCTGCAGAACGAGCGAGGATTCAACAAAGAGTTTCCGCTCCTCCGTGACCCAACCCAGAAAAACAAAGGAGAAACGCCTGCTGCTTCGATGGAGCTCTGAGAACACAGAATACAGCACAGACTCACAGGAGTGAACCTCCGTCTCTTCAGAGGAGCTGTGACGTGATGAGGGACAGACGGGAAACACGACGGTTCTTCATGCTTTTCTCTGCACTGCATTAATACAAGCGTTCATCACGGCAAACAAACCCAGACAGAGACCGATATACAGAGACAAACACCGCAGAATCACATGATTATCTCAGCTCAGTGCCACGCTGAGAAACACGTTCTTCAGTCTGTATTGATTCAAATCAGCCTTCATTTGATGCAATGCTTTGAATGTCACTGTAATGTGTTTGTTCTTATCTTATCTGTTACGAGCATGCATTTAGCAGATGCTTTTATCCAAAGCGACATGCAAAAGAGGAAAAGAGCACCTATAAATCTGTTTTAATGTGCGTCTTATATTCAGGTTATGACGTGTAATACAGCTTATACAGTTATGAGGACCTTTATAATGCATCATATTATTTCACCAGAGACATATCTTTAGTGCAAAACTGTAAAATAATCTATTAACGTTAATTGCGTAATTATTTTCTAGAGTCTAAGGTTGAATCATTTGTGACCCTGGACCCACAGTCAAAAGCTGAATAAATAATCTTTCCATTGATGTATGGTTTGTTAGGATCGGACAATATTTGGCTGAGATACAACTATTTGAAAATCTGGAATCTGAGGGTGCAAAAAAATCTAAATATTGAGAAAATCATCTTTAAAGTTGTTCAAATGAAGTTCTTAGCAATGCATATTACTAATCAAAAATTAAGTTTTGATATATTTACGGTAGGACATTTACAAAATATCTTCATGGAACATGATCTTTACTTAATATCCTAATGATTTTTGGCATAAAAGAGAAATGTATAATTTTGACCCATACAATGTATTGTTGGCTATTGCTACAAATATACCCCAGCGATTTAACACTGCTTTTGTGCTCCAGGGACACATTTATTAGTGTTTTGTTGTCTCCTCCTTTCATTGCATTGTGGCCTATATAGTGTCCGTTTTAGTGACAGCAGCGACTACTGTTGTTTTTTATTGTGCATTATAATTAAAATTTGATTTGATATTATTATGACTAGTAAATGAGCTCAGCTCTAGTTCAGGACAGATAATGCATGGTTTTTGTTCTTCACATTGAGTCTTTAGCTCCTGAAACGTTCACTCAGCGTGAGCTCAAATCCACAGAAGCCTTGAACTCGCTCGCAGGGATTGATTGCAGAGCTTTAGACCTCTGATCTGCATTTGAAGAACACACACACACACACACACACTCACACACACACACACAGACACACTCTCTCACACACACACACACACACACACTCTCACACACACACACATGCACTCACACACATGCACACACACACACACGCTCTCACACACACACATGCAGCCACAGCACCACCTTCTGAGCGTCGGAGGAACTGCAGCTCCGTCTCTCCGTTCACACAGAAAACACTGGAATGCACGAGCTTCTCCTCTGTGTGTGTTGATCTGAAAGCTGAGAAGCGTGTGCGTTTACCTCGGTGTCGTCCTCCGTCCGGAGCCCCAGATTGAGGACGGCATGCGGCGCTTTCAGTCTGCTCCGAGCCGATGTAGCCATCTGCAGATTGAGCTGCCAACCCACAAGATCCAGCTGGAAAACACACGAGAAACACACTCAACTTAGCTTTACCTTGAAATCTAATGATTTCTTTAGATATTTACAACTGTGACACACTGCCATAAACACTGGGACATAATTAAAAGATCTCCAACAAATGTAGAAAAATATTTTATTAATATTATTGAACATGGTTTACCTAATAAAAAACATGTAGCCCATATGTGACCCTGGAGCACAAAACCAGTCATAAGGGTCAATTTTTCGAAATTGAGATTTATACACCATCTGAAAGCTGAATGAATAAGCTTTCCATTGTTCAAAAAAAGAGACACACTGAACTACACCATGAGCTCAAACACACGCTGATGTTCAGATCTGACGCTGATCTACAGCGTAACTACAGGACCAGAGATGACACAGATTATTAATAGACATTAATATAATGAAGCCAATAATAACACTTCAGATGCTCCTGATACACTCTTAATAACAACTGGCTTTAACATCCATGGAACCTTTCAAATGCACAAGAGATTATTAAAAAAAAATGTTTTTCACACTAAGAAAATATGTTTCTTTTAAGAACTGATCACTGAAAGGTTCTTTGGAGAACCTAAAACGGTTCTTCTAAAGAATTACTGTGAAAACTCCCTTTAGGAACCTTTAATTTTAGGAGCGTAGAGTCATTAGTCCGTGAGTCTGTTGTTTGTGAGTCTTTTGACTGATTCATTACAAGGAATCGTTCAGAGAGTAATTTGTTCATGACTCAGTTATTCAACTATTCACACTGAAGGGAGTTTGAGTCTTTTTGACCGATTCATTACAAAGGAATCGTTCAGAGAGTCATTTGTTCATGAGTCAGACTCCACTGTTCACTCTTCACGGTTCTGAATCAGATCTGACATGAATTAAGGATCTCATCTTCGTGAAAACTCTCCCGAAGGTTCAGATTGGGCGGAGATATGGGTCAGACCTCAGATTCATGCAGACATCCAGAACTGAGCCTGAACTCACCTTGTTTGGGGCAAATATGCCGAGTCTGATCTTCTGCAGCACGTCTGGAGCAGCTGAAGCCCAAACCTGAGCGAACACCTCAGCTTTCTCCGGCTGGACGCTGATGTTCTCCAGCTGCTGTCTGAGAGACGCTGGTTTGAGGTTGTGATACACGGCCTGCAGAGAGAAATCCTCTGCTTTACATCGGATCACGCATTCATACAGACTCAATATTAACACCAGGTCATTCCTGCAATATGAATATAAATACAAACAAACTTCCTATATAATGCTTATTCAGAGATGCTAAAACAGAAGCTGAACAGTACGACTTGTCTTTATTAATTTTATTTAGTTTGTGCTGGTATCTCTCTTTCTGTGCGGGTGGTGACAGATTTAACAGATCCGGTTCAATTTCATCTTGATTCTCTTTTAGGAACTTTCTTAAAATATTAAATATGATGCATTCTGTTGGTTAGGAGGAGACCTTGAAAAAATATTGAAAAATGTAACACTTTAAAATTATTTTGTAATTTCACATAATTTAAGCACTTTTCAAGTATCTCTTCATAAACACCCAAACAGAAATGTAATATATGACATGTAATATTGCCATATATGTTAACTATAAGGCCATATCTATAATTTTACACACATATATATATATATTCTTTGGGTAGATGAATATATAAGTGTATAACATATATAAAATTGACATAGTAATGTGTTTACATGTGCATACTGTATGTTAATAATATTTGTTTATGTTATTATATGTAGCAACCATATATGTCAGCAATATATATTTTACTTATGCAACTTTATTAAAACAATGTATACACTGCAAAAACTGATTCTCTTACTTAGTGTTTGTGTTTTCTAGTATAAATATCGAAACATTCTTGAATCAAGATGCATTTACTGTACGAGTGAAATTACTTAAAATATTAAGTCTTGTTTTCTGTAAAAACTCCTGTTCCTGTGTCCGACCAGACACAGGAACAGTTTCTTCCCTCAGGCAATCCATCCACACACACTCACACACACTCACACACACACACACTCACACACACACACACTCACACTCACTCACTCACTCACACACTCACTCACACACACTCACCTTCAGGTGGAGCTTCTGCAGAATGCGGGACAGAAGTCTGGAGAACTTGCTGCTGTCGATGGAGTTGATGTGAGTCACGGCTTCTTTAATGCTGCAGGAGAACAGACACAGAGACAGAGAATATTCTCAGCAGAGCAGGGTCGTAATCTGGATTACGTACTGGATTACAACTTCCTCTAAAAAAATTAACCATAGCCTATGGTATTAACATTGATTAATTAATAAATACATTTATTATGTAAAAAATAAATAAAAACAAAAAATGGTTTTGTTGTAGTGATTTTGTGGTTTGTGCGACTTGCGTGTTTCTGTATTTGTTTGTGTTGTGAGTATTTGCAGCGCATGTGCTGTCAAACTGATGAAGATGTTTTCATAATTTGCTGGTGCTTTTTCTACTTGCACGTGTTTTCTGAAGTTGCAGCGCTTGAGCTCTCTGAGCCACCGTAGTAATCAGACTACAGTTACTTTTTAATGGATTACATGGTTACATATAATACACACAATAGCAATATTATAAAACAGATAGTTCCGGTCCTTGATTCTGATTGGCTGAGCCGTGTTCGAAGCTGTTGTAAAGGACTCTACAAAGTAACATACACCTTTGTTTACATTTGTGTGTTGCTCGGCAACCACTTTGTTGCAACCACAACTGTTTCTGAGGAACTACATTGTTTGGTGGAAGAATACTGTTTTTATTAATATCATTACACTTTATTTGCTCTGTTTTATTTTGTGAAACCTTACTACGTATATGGAATACATACAATTGTCGATTTGTATATTTTTTATTCCTTATTTACTTGTTCTATTTTTTATTATCTGTGTTTTTTGTTCTGTCACTGTCATTCTGTTACACTGTGGAAGCTTCTGTCACGAAAACAAATTCCTCGTATGTGTAAACATACCTGGCAGTAAAGCTCATTCTGATTCTGATTCTGATTCTGAAAAATAAATACATTTAAAAATTTTGTGAGTTTTTCCTTAAAACAAGCAAAAATATCTGCCAATGTGGCAAGAAAAATAATCTTGTTTAGTCTTTGAATATTTTTAAGATATTTTTGCACGTTTTGAGCAAAAACAAACAAAATTTAGAACTCTGAAAGAAGCGAAACGAGACTGAACATGGTGAAGCGAAACTGAAAATACCATGTTTATAATATGTTGGGACTGTGTGTGTTTAAGATGCTGGCAGATGTTTAGAGCGGACCGCAGCGGTTACTGGTGAAGAAGGAGTAAAGGCTGGACCTGCTCGAGGATGAAGGACAGGGTTTCCAGCAGCAGATGAAGAGTGTGTTTCTCCAGAGATAGACCGCTCTGGAGCTTCTCCTCCTCCTCCTCACTGAAGGAGCGCTCCTCCTGAGTAACACAGAGCATCAGCATCACACACACACACACACTCACACACTCACACACACACTCACAGCAACCACAACTGTTTCTGAGGAGCTACATTGTTTGGTGGAAGAATACTGTTTTTATTAATATCATTACACTTTATTTGCTCTGTTTTATTTTGTGAAACCTTACTACGTATATGGAATAACCGTTTTATAAAAGCAATAAGCCCCGTGAAGCCGTGGTATACAGTGAATTTATAACAGCTTCGCGTCGCGCCTAACAACACCCCTTAGCTGTTATAAACTCACTGTACACTGACACTGGGGCTTATTGCGTTATTGAATTATCACTCGATCGGTTATTTTACAATGAAGGCTATTACTTTGGAGGGCGTTTGTCTTTCAAACACATTAAAATGCACAAATTCACCAACTTGTTTCTCATCTGATCCTCTGTCACCTATTATATTTTTATTTGAAGTACCCCTGAGATTGTAAATAATTAAACACATCTGCATGTTCATTGGTTCTCTGATGTTGGTTATGGTCACATGACATGCAGGTAAACAAATAAAATATATAATTTTTTTCAGTAAGTGTTTTATTTTGATTCATTTTAAAATTATTTGATTTAACTTAACATTTTTATGATTTAATTAATTATTAGCTTTTCATTCAACTCATAAACTGCCTGCAAACTTTGACGTAATAATGTTTAATGCACTTCATGTTGTTGATAAGAACAAATGAACTATATTTTCTTACTCTTTGCATTTTTATATCAACATGGTACAAGATTATTAACGTTAGTTAGGTCTAAAGTCTCAAGTACTCTGATAATATGACTTAAAATGTGTTTTAAGTGATTACGCCACTAACTACAATTTTTGTCATGTAATTTGGACTCAGTAACGGATTACAATTTGTAAATAATCTACCCAGCTCTGACTATCATATATGAATTATTACAGTTACAGTTATTGATCAGTGGCTGTAATAATGTGTTAAACGAGCATCTCTCTGTCAGACACATTCACATCAGTATAGAGTATAAACTCGGCAGAAATACCGCGAGATCGTAGTAAATCGATGTGTTTACCTCTGTGTCTCTGGGATTATTGAACTCATCGCTCGTTTCGTTTCTTTTCGCGTCCAGATGCAGTCCCTTCCTAGCGCAAGGGCACGTTACGCGTGACGTCAGCTCGTCGACACGCCCACCGCGCTCAGCGACGTTCAGTACTTCCACACATAATAACCGGAGTAAATAATGTGTGATGAAAGCGAACGTGTAGTTAAATACTGTCAAAACACACGACTATAATAGAAACAATGTATAGAAATTGATGCGCAACTGTCGCCATGGCAACCATAGTTCCCGCCCACATACCATAATTACTGTAGTATTTTGTTTACTGTCCACAAAAACGAGCAGGCAATGTTCAGAAAAATCAACTTAATTCAGAGGGAAACAAGTTTGCATTGACAGATATTTGTTCTTGTTTTAATCATTAACTCCAGTAAATATATTGTGATATATAAGGCTGTTTAGATATTTGTACTGGAAAACAAAACAGAAATACTGAGGAAGAGATTCATTTTTACATTTAATGCCACAACTTTATGAATTTAAGACTTTCTGCTCTGATTTTAGAGCTTTTTAGTACTTAATTTGTGAAAAGGTGAATTAAGACTTTTTAAGACCCGCAGAAACCCTGTTAGGCCTGTTTTTTTCATTATTTAACAAATAAATGAACAGGTGTTTGTGAGTCGTAATTTGTGTATTAATTGTGTATAAATGTATTAATAACCATCCACAATACACAATACTGTTTGACTATTTATAGAAATCTGAGTGAACTTGAGCTTTCCATCAAACACAAGAGCCCAGAAAACAAGAGTTAGAGAAGAAAATAATCTGATCCTTTATTTTGTTGCAAAAGGAAATAGAAGCAGCACTTAAGAACCAAAGCAAAACTACCAGCATAAGAAAAGAGAAGACAAAACATATATAAATATACTCTGAACACAGTCATATCATTTAGGCATATACAGCATCATTTACTGAAATATTTCCATACTGGAATGTTTGTCAGGCGTGATGTTGAGAGCGCTACACACACACACACACTCACTCAGACACACACACTCACTCTGACACACACACACACACTCACTCAGACACTCACTCACTCACTCAGACACACACAC